ACATGCCCCACCCTGGAGGTGTGCAGATTCAGAGCCGTAGGCCTGAGCGCCGTCCGTGCACGTGCGGCAGGTCTGGGCACCCAGGTTCTCCCTGGCGAGTGAGCCGAGGTTTGGCGTCTCCCCGCCGTGTGCCCCGCGGGGTCTCTGTGTTCTGCTCGCAGGCCGGTCCTGGCCCGCTGCCCCGGGTGTGCGTGGATGCAGCTGCGGCACTGCCCGCCCGGCAGGTTCTGACCCCACCCTGTGTCCCCGCAGGTGCTCCCGGCCGGACCGACCCAGCCGCAAGGTGGACCTGCCTCTCGTGCCCGGAGGGGGACGATGCCGGCTTGTCTGTAGCGATGGTCAGCGGTTCAGCGCGGCTGAAGCTCAGCGAATGAGACTATGGGCTGTGCCTCCGCCAAGCATGTGGCCACCGTTCAGAACGACGAGGAGGCCCAGAAGGGGAAGAGCTTCCAGAACGGAGACGTGTTCGGCGGTGAGTGCGCGGGAGCTGCGTGCCGGCTCCGGGCTGGGCTGGCGCAGGGAGCAGGCGTCACCGCCCTGCGTGCCTCTCGGGGTGCAGGCAACGAGGGAGATTGGTGCAGGCTTCCTGTACCGGGTCGATGTGCAGGTTATTGCCGGGGCCAGCCTTGTCCCAGACCGCGCGGCAGCACCAAGGCGCCCGTGTCTGGGACCCTGGTTCACCACATCACCTTCCTGACATCCGTCTCCCACCCCTCATCCCAGGCTGCGCGGCAGCACCAAGGCGCCCAGGTCTGGGACCCTGGTTCACCACGTCACGTGGGGCTAATCCAGGTGACTTCCTTGTCAGAGTCCGAAACACAGTAAGAGCAGAGCTGTTTCCCCCGAGACCGAAACCCTCGGCAGAAAACGAGGCGTCAGATGCAGCTCCCTGCACTTCTGCAGAGACGCCTCCTGCCGGCTCCGCTACGCCGGGTGCAGCTCTGGTGTGTGTGCAGGTGTGGTACATATGCAGGTGTACGTGGCTTGTGTACAGGTGTGATGTGTGTGCAGGTGTGGTACATGTGCAGGTGTGCAGCATGTGTGTGCAGGTTGGTGCATGTGCAGGTGTGGAGCATGTGTGTGCAGGTGTGGTACATGTGCAGGTGTGCAGCATGTGTGTGCAGGTTGGTGCATATGCAGGTGTGGTACATGCAGCATGTGTGTGCAGGTGTGGTATATGTACAGGTGTGCAGCATGTGTGTGCAGGTGTGGAG